ATATATATATATATATATATATATATATATATATATATAAAATTTATATATATATATATTATTTATATATATATTCATATTCATGTACAATGCAACCACCAGATGTTGATTGGCTACTGACTGTTGCAAAATTTGAATATTGATATCTATACTGTACTGTAATCATAGTGGACCAGTCTATTATTTATTGCGGATGGGAAAAAAATATATATTAATAACTGTACAGTATAAATACCAATATTTAAATCTTGCAACCATCAGTTTTCAATTAACACCTCAGTTAGTAAAAAAAAGTATATATATATATATATATATATATATATATACCTATAGTGAGCCAGACAAACCTACCTAGGTTTTTAAACGGATCGTCAGGAAAGTTTGGCCAAACTTTCCCTGATGATCCGTTTAGGTGAAACCTAGGTAGGTTTGTCTGGCTCACTAGGTGTATCTAGGTCTGCTCTACGGTTGTATTGAGCTCTTTTGTTAGTTAGTTGTTACTCGTATCGGGGTTTTTTCTTTGGGCTTCAGACCTGCATCTATGCGATTTTTTTTTTGTCGGCAGAAGTCCATGTTTGTAGCTCTTTCTTTTTAAAAACCTTTTTTTCCCTCGAGATTGATTTGATTAGCAAATCAAAAATTTGAGGGTTTTTCGAAACGAGTCTAGTTTTCTATATTTATATTTATATATATATATATATATATATATATATATATATATATATATATATACCCAAGTAAAGGATTGGTGTATACAGAATAAATTCCAATAACCAAAAATACTATTCTTAAAAAAGTGCTCAATACAGAGTAGAGCAAATATAATTTATTCGAAAATTAAACATAAATATGTTATAAAATCATTACAAAATAGCCACTTTGTTTCAATATTACTGGTGTCTTATCAGGTGATGGTATTGAATGTAGAATAAAGAGTTTATTCAACATTCAACACCATCACTTGATATGACACCAGAAGTGTTGAAACAAAATGGCTATTTTTGTAATGATTTTATAACATATCTATGTCATAATTTTCGAATAAATTATATATATATATATATATATATATATATATATATATATATATATTGTATTTAGGCAGCAATCCCTCTTTTATACATGTTTCATTAAAGATGACTGACAAGGTACTACTGTGATTTCATTTAATTTTTCTTGTATTCATACAAGTGTTTTCTTTTCTGGACACAGTATATGTAAAAACTCTGCAAAAGTTTGGCATAATCAAGCATTTTTGCCTATTCTTTTAGCCATTATCAAGGACAGTTTATTTTTTTTTTTTTTTCATTAAATATGTGTTTTTTTATGTATGTCGCCTTATACACAGAAATATATATAGTGTGTGTGTGTGTTTGGGTGTGTGTGTGCATATATACACTGTATATTTCCGTGTATATGGTGACCTATAGATAAGATGAGATCAGAAAATATATCAAATTTTCATCCTATACCTGTAGTACAAGATGAATGCTTATTGATTATATAAAGATGATGTTATTGGAAATGTTACTGTATCCTTAGAAATTCAAAATAAATGGAATAATACAAAACAATTCTATATTATGTTTTTCCTACACACATCGTATAAAAGAGAAACTATTTCATCATGTGATCTCTTGCAAATACAAGTCTGGTGTACTAATGGCCATTTACTTAAACTTCATCGTCAGTCACAAAATACCACTAATAAAAGTACAATAATGTATGATAATAGTACATTCCATTGCTGTGAACGCAGCCATAACTCAATGTTTACATTTTCTCAGCTGATCTTGCATGGATGCAAGTTGATTGCATTGATATGGAATTATTCTTCAAATAGGAAATTTATTATGAAGTTATGCCAATAATATATCAGGTAGAAATGGTTTTATTACTTTTATTATCAGTTTATTTGATAATGTGAATCTTTTCATGTATGTTATTGATTCTCGCACTGAGGCTGAGGTTAGCCTACTGACAAACATTACTCAGAATTTAAGGTCTCTTTTTTAGAATTACAGTATAAGATGACCCCTAATTTTTTAGGGTGATTTTGGGATTTAAAGGTTGTCTTATATTCTTATATAAGGAAATATATGGCATATATATTGTATTTAGGCAGCAATCCCTCTTTTATACATGTTTCGTTAAAGATGACTGACAAAGGATATATATATATATATATATATATATATATATATATATATATATAAAAGGCTCGAACACTAATATTCCATGGTTATGATTTATTACATTGGAATCGTAATCACGATCCAAATCATCAGACTTACAAATTAAAAAAAGCGACATATACTACTAGTAATACTTAGCACAACTTGTAAGTCTATCAAAGCAAATTGGTACCCAAGGAAAAAATTGAAAGAACTAGAAACATCCAAACAGGGTGAAATAAATCATCCAGTGCCTTAAGTTTTTAGTCCAAAGAAAAAAAAAACCAAGCAAGTAATAAAGCTGAGACATAGAGTGCTCAATGCACTAAGTACAGCAGCCTGTCTATATATATATATATGGAATATTAAACAGAAAGATGGTACTGACCCCATTTTAAAATGGGAAATACTAAAACAAAATGCCATAAGTATAAAGCAGGGGATCAGTATTGCTTATGTATGGAGGAAAAATTAGCAATAACCACCTCCGATGAACCTAATAATTTATTAAATCAAAGACCTGAAATTTTAAATAGGTGTAGGCATAGTAAATCCTAGTTATTGGAATAGAGGCTCTGGCCTTTTTTTCTTTTTATCTTTTTCTGTCACAAGGTTTTATGCTAATTACTTTTTAGTGGTTTTATCAATAAATACTGTTTCATGTCATTTCCTCTTTAGTCAGCTTATCCTGAAGATCCATTTAGGTGAAACCTAGTTAGGTTGTTCCTTACTCTTTAGAATTTATTTCATTTATATATATATATGAGGAGGCACGGTAGAGCAGTGGATAGCGGCTTGGATTGAGAAATCGCAGAGCCGAGTTCGAATTCCAGTCGAATCCATTACATTCACTTACGTGCTAATACCCTTGGGAAAGGTATGTATCCTCTTCATCTCCCTCCAGCTATGGGTAAAATAGCAGGACAGACTGGGTTCTATAGCCTTGGATGGCAACTGGTCTAGGAGAAGGACAACTCTGAATTCAAAACCTGCGGAGGGTCGTTTGGGAACCTTGTGGCATGCATTCGGTGCACCAGGTTTCTGTATTCGTCCCTCCAAAAAGTGTGGCTGGTCCTGCACGAGGCCTTCACCACTATAATCAAATCTCATGTGCCGGTGTCGGGATGTCGGTTTCCTGGGGACTTATTGGCCTGACCCTCATACGTTGAACGCGACGGGAGAGTCGATTATATATATATAAGTCTACAACATAAATTTAATCTATATATGTGTATACCAAAATGACTTCTAAAAATATATTTTCACTCTGTTATATAGTGTCTAGGAAGTTCTTTTAATATATGAATGATGAGAAAAACCAGTCTTGCTTCAAATCAAACTCACTCTCACCTAGCCAATCTTAACAGATACGGAATCAAGAAAAACAATGCATGTTATTTATAGACATGCATAACACAAGGCAAAACTTTGAATAGCCTAACCTGAAGTCAACCAGGAATTTACTACTCTATTAATGGGACCCTGCTTTCTAATATCATTGCAGGTTAATATTAGTTTGTCACACATGAAATGACACACTTTATAGGAAATGAATAAAATGCTTCTGAAATGTTAAATAACTAATTTATTTAGTTGAAATAGGCACCATATTGATGAATGACTGTTCTCCAACATTCCTCTAAGTTCTTGATCCTATCTTTAAAAAAAGGTCCATCCTTTGAACAGTTCAAATGTTTCAATTACTTCTTCCTTATTTGAGAATGTTTTATTGTACATAAAAAGATCAAAATGTTTAAATAAGTGATAATCAGTAGGAGAGATATCAGAAGAATATGGAGGATGAAGCAAAATTTCATAATTCAGGCTATGCAACCTTTGGACAGTTGATTGAGAAGTCTGTGGCCATGCATTGTCATGTAGCAAATTTGGGCTATCCCTATTCATAAGTCTAGAATGTTTCTTTACAATTTTTCATGCATACACTCAATTTCTCCACAATATGAGGTTGCTGTTATTGTTTTCCCTTGAGGCAAGAATGAATAATGAATAACCCCTTTGAAAGACCACCATACAGTAACCATTAACATTTTAGGATGCAGTGGAGGTTTTGGGTATTGTTTTGGTGGTTTACTTGCATCTAACCACTGGCGTATGCTCTTACAGTTAAAGAGTATCTATTTCTCATCACATGTGATGATTCGAGAGAAAAATATTTCTTTTTTCCAAGTTTGATTATTCAACATCATTTCATTGTAATCATTTTCAATGGGTTTATGAGTCCCAATATATTGAAAGAAAAAATGATCTGGAAAGAAAAAGAATTGGTAATAAGTCAAGATTTGTTTCTATACTAAGGAGGTTATTTTGTTAGATAAACAACCAACCACAAAAAGGATCATTTCATGTCACACACTAATATATAAACACCAACTCTGGAGACAGCAAGGCAGAGTCTCTTGCACCCTTGCAAGAAGAAGAATCCGTGTATGATGAAAGCCTCAAAAACACACACATTCAATCACTAATATTAAACTGAGTTGAATAAACTATTGTATGAGAGTTTTTGTCTCATGTTATCATTAGCCAGCACAATGATTTCATTATAGATGCTATCAGGGAATGAGTAAGAAAATTTCTAAATATTTGCATTAAGAGATTACTTAAAAAAAATCAGACAAAAGTACAAGATCGTAATCCTAACAGAATATTTCAGTTGTGAATGTATATTACAAGAAATACTTATATTTTGTTAAACAATTGCTTTGGATTCTATTTCTTTGTCCTACAATCTCCTTTTCTCCCTTTCATTTCTTTATCATCCTTCATTATGCATCCTTGTTCCTTTTCTTTTCCTAATTTTTCTAGCTTCTTCCAATATTTCAAAATTTTTCTTCATCGAAATTTTCCAAATTCTTCTTCATTATCTAATTTTTCTAAATTCTTCTTCTTCATCTAATTTTTCATCTCCTTCATCTAATTTTTCATCTCCTTCATCTAATTTTTCTTCTTCATCTAATTTTTCTTCTTCATCTAATTTTTCTTTTTCATCTAATTTTTCAAAATTATTCTTTTTTCATCTAATTTTTCAAAATTATTCTTTTTTCATCTAATTTTTCAAAATTATTCTTTCTTCATCTAATTTTTCAAAATTATTCTTCTTCATCTAATTTTTCAAAATTATTCTTTTTCATCTAATTTTTCAAAATTTTTAATTTCATCTTTTTTAAGACTAAATATCTCATATGTAAAACTATTGTTTATTTAATTCTGGATTTTGTCAATTAATATTGATGAGTAGGTGTGTAGCTTTAGGGGTTTTCCAAACATGGATTATTCTACTTGCAAGGAGGTGAGAGATTATCTTCCCTCTTGGGTGGGGTGCTTATATGTATCATCCTGTCATCTAGTTGTCCCATGTGCACATCCTAAGCACAGCTGGATCAACCACCTGCTTACATGTTTGGGCAGACACTGACTTCCTATGAGGCATAGGGTCAACCCACTGTTGCACCTGGTTTCTGTAATACTCTGATCTAAAACTGAGAGCAAAATCTATTTTTGTATAATCTGTGTTGAATCCTGTGCGATCGTCGTAGATCAACTTCACTTAAAACAAAGGTTCTTTATTGACATTAAATTTTAATCACATATTATATAAGTACCATTTTAAGCACTACGGATTTATAGAAATACAAACAAGTCATTAATATGGGTAAAATAAACTTTTGATAAAGGTTAATCGGATTAACACATTCAGTAGCAGTGTTAAAGTGTGTATTTTTTAAATTTGTACCATGTCTTCTTTTTTCGCCTCTGTACACTGCAGTAACTAATATCAGCTTTCTATTCTTGCCTTTTTTTTCACATTAGTGAAAACTTTAAGGAAAGTGTGAAGAAAAGATTAAATATAAACTGCGAAAAGACAAAACGTATAGTTATGAGCAAAAGGATGAGCCCAAAATGCAAATTACAAATTGGAGATACCAAAATCAAATAAGTACATAAATTTAAATATCTGAGGAGTGTTCTCTAACAAGGGATCGAAAGTGCAACACTGAAGTCTGAAAACATATTCGGATGGCCAAAGCTGCCTTCCAAAAGCTAAGCAGAGTATTAAGAGACAGAAAAATCTCGTTAGAAACAAAAGAGTATTGAACTCTTATGTGATATCTGTCCTCCTGTATGACATCAAATGCTGAACAATCTCCTCAAAAGAGAACTTGAAGCAACAGAAATTTAGTTCTACAGAAGGATGCTGAGGATATCATGGACCAAACATGTAAGCAACAGTTAGGTTTTAGAGTAAATAGAAACAAAAAGGAAACTTATACTTAACATCAGGAAGGGGCAGTTGAAATTTCTGGGACATTTAATGAGGAAGGCAGGCTTGGAAAACTTGATATTCATGGGACATGAGCAAATGGATGGTAGAAGAGGGTTTGGTAGAAATAACAAAAAGACAAAACTTATTAAGAGCTAAAAGGGACATGAAGGTGTGGAGGGCCATGTTTGCTTACTTCCTAAAGGGACACAGCACATAAAAGAAGAAAAAAACTTTGTTAATAATAAAGTTAATAATGGCATCCCAAATTTCCAGGAACTGATTCCATAAATTCAGGGAATTCTTAGGAAACTATTCTGTTTATTTTCTTTTCAATCTGAGAAGAGAAACAAATCAGTTTATAGTATCAAAAAGAATTCATCCATTTTGATAATCTAATAGAAAGCATTTATTTATTAAGATGTTTCCAGATTGAAATTCTGTTTTCATCATACAAGAAGTATGATGTTTTTTGACTGTAGTGTTATGGTTTCTTACCTACATTTGAACTGAATTGCTGCAGTCCCAAAAATCTAATGGAAGACCTATCAAATTTCTGATTAGATGATTTGCTACATTTTTAATTTCAAAATGATTTCTTTTGTCAGAATAAATTATGTTCATCACAGAAAACTCTCTTTCAGCCTCTGCAGAACTTACAGCAATGGTATTAATTATATTTTTAGCTATTAATATAAGAGATTATTTTTGGATAATCCAACAAGTGGTTCACTAAGCTTCTATAATTTTAAGAATCAGTTTCTGCAAATGGGTGCAAACCAATAGGATGCCACCACTGAGTAAAGGTGTTAACTTGCTGGTTGGTTGATTTATTTTTTACGGCTTTGCAGTTTATTTAAAGCCAGAATATATTTCTAGATTGTAAAAAAATATAAATTTTCATTGGAGTGAGGGTGGGATAATGATAATAATGACATTTACAGATGCTAGTTTTTATTAATTAACTCATACTGGTGGGGAGAAGAAGGCAAATTCATTTTTTTCCACTGAAGCATTGTGTGACTTTTCAGAAATACCAGACACTGGGATTGAACTCAAATTGCCAGGGAACCAGAATTGTTTTAACCAAATGATCTATCGTTATTTTCTTGGCAGATGTTCAGATGAGCTATATTCCTTCTTTCCACCAGTTCAGACCTTCACAACAAGGACTGCCCATATCCACCTAAACAAGGTTAACTTATCCTCATTCCCTTCATATTCTATTGGTAAGGAGGAAGCTCCTTTGGGGCAGCAACTTCCCCAGAACGGTTACTTTGTGAAACACTCCCAAGAAGATCTTAATCTCTTCAAAGTTCACCTCTCATTCAGTTTGCACTTTGCCCTGGTCTTTTGAACAGGAGTAGAGGTTTATCCCATGTTTCCTGTTTAGGATTGGGATTACGGCCTCTTCTAAAGTTTTTCCATTCTCTTTCACTTCCAGTAGCCCCTTGCATCTTAGTGGCATTATCACTTTGCTTGAGGCGAACTGATTACAAAACAGTCCCAGGTCAACTAGTTATCTATAATCTATGCTTCTTGCTTCCTCTTCTTATATCCATAAAACAACCTCATTTAGTAATCCTCTACATTGAGTGGCTCTTGGGCCTTGTATTGCATGAATAATAGTTTAAAAAAAACATTTGAATCCACTAGTCCCTGGATCTAGTGTGTATTAACAGATATGAGTTATCTCCCCTAGGCATGGAAAGCAGAATGAGAACAATTTCGTTCCTGGGTTCTGAGTTCAATTCCTGGTTCTGGTATTGCTTCAGTTGAAGAAATGGACAAGCCACACAAAGATGAATAAGACTGGTGTGTATGAACTGACATGAGTTATCTCCCCCTAGGCATGCAAAGCAGGAGAATAGCTGATTCCAGTGGGTTGAATAAAGAGTTCCATTCAAAACTCCAAGAAGTGGAACAAACACGTGACAAAGGCTGGAGGTTACAATAGCTGAAATATTGCAAGTATAACAAGCAGGTTGAGCATGCAGGTTCGAATAATAATGCATATAATTGTCTAAGAATATATTAACCACAATGTTAGAATCTATAACGATGACAACTAGACAACTTCACATGTGCAAATGGTGTGACTGTCTTACATCATTTGCATTGGATTACTGCTAATTTTAGGTTGTTATTTTCTGACCAATGGCAGATAACTTCCTGTTTTTTATACTTGTCTTTGATTCATCTCATTTTGTGGTTGGAGAATTCTCATGTAAGTAAAAGTGATCTTTTGTTATTTTTAATGATGCCTAATTGAAGCTTGTTTGGTGGAATGGGGATTTATTTTTGGAAATGACGCTAGGAATTGGAGAAAAAAACATGGCCTGTTTTTGACAGCTTGAAATAAAACAGAAATAGTTTGAAATATGTTTTTAAAAAAAAACATTTTCACATTTATGAACTTAGTCCAAAATAAATTATGATCTTATTACAAGTTATTCATTGAGTGTGCACACAGCAAGTCTCTTCAAAGTTCTCACCTGCTTCATTGCTTTGATCTTCAAAAATGCAATGTCAGTCATTATCTTTTGTCGTCTTAACTTCAGTTCTTTTACAGTTCTCTCTCCTTAATAATGTTTTCTTTTCTCATTCTTTCACACTTCTTGTGTCTTAGTGGCTTTATTGCTTTGCTTGGGTGAAAGGAAAAGATGCTGACAGAAGCCTCCATTTATAGAAGATAATTACACAGCACTTGCATAATACCATTCACAATTATTTTTGCATGCTATCTTAAAATATCAATACAATTTTTTAACCCTGACATAGCATCATGACTTCAGTCATTTTCTCAACACCGTAATGTAGCCTCTCTGTGTCTTTTCTATAAATACTTTCATGGTAATTGTTCTAATGAACTCTCCTCTGTGGTACTTAGACGTTATGAATTTAAGAGCAATACTAGATTGGCAGCTAGGTCTCATCATTTTACGGTTGAAATAGCAAGATGTAACCTAACAGTTTTTTTTCTTATTTCTGTAAATTTTTCAGCTTCTTGCTTTCCAGTCAAGTTTGATTTTTTAAAATTTGAATGCAAAGTCAATTGTCATCTTCTGTCTTCTTAACTTCTCTTCTTACTCCTTAATAATGTTTTTGTTATATTCTTTCACACACAGTAACCCCCTGCATGTTAGTGGCTTTGTTACCTTGTTTGGGGTGAAAAGATTATAAAAAAATAAAAAAAATATATCTTTATTTACTTTCATTTCTGACATTCAACTTCATGATTTATAAACTTTTTCCAAATGAAAGTGTTCTCCATGTGATTAGAATACTGTGCTTTTTTTTTTTTGCTTTTCGCTTGCAAGGGTAATTGACAGCAAAAGAGATGTTATTTTTGGTATAAGCACCATCAGTGTATAATAAATAATAATGATCTGGTGATGCAAAACAATTCAGATCAGTTATATGCCATGTATGATAATTGCTCAGGCAATCATGTATCTTTCAGAACATGACTGACGAGGCAGATCTTTTCCCGTAGTATTTTGCTATTTCTTTCTGTGGTAGACCAGTTGACATCCAGGACTATAAACCCTGGTCTGTCCTGCTATTTATCCATAGCTGTGGTGGTGGTGGTAGGGGGGGGGGATTCATATCTTATTTATCATATATAATTGGTTTTCTGTTTCATACTAGACAATTTTTCTCGTCTGAATCTATCTTGCATATTTACAAGTCTACCATTCATCCAGGCTTAGAATATTGCTGTCATTTATGGTCTGGAGATTCTGCTGTATATTTAGTGTTCCTTGTTAAAATCCAAAGAAGAATCTGCAATGTTATTGGTCCTGACATCTTGGCTTCAGTCATTTTCTCACCACTGTAATGTAGCTTCCCTGTGCCTTTTTTTATAAATGTTTTCATGGTAATTGTTCTAATGAACTCTCCTCTATGATACTTAGACTTTATGAATTTAACAGCAGTACTAGATTGGCAGCTAGGTCTCATCATTTTACAATTAAAATGGCTAGATGTAACTGTAAGTTTTACGTATCTTCTTTCTCACTTCTTGTTTGTGGAACTCTCTTCTGGTTTCATGCTTTGCAATGAACTTTGATCTTCAAAAATTTAAATGCCATGTCAATCATTATCTTTTGTCTTCTTAATTCCTGTTCATTTATTTTTCTCTCTCCTTAATAATGTTTTATTTTCTCTTATTCTTTAACACTTCCTTGTGTCTTACTGACTACAAAAGAAAAATCCACCCCCGGCAGGAATGAAACTTAAAAATAATGTTTATTGTAATAAGAAATAATTACTTACCACCTTGCTTAAGGTGAAATGACTACAAAAAAGATTGATTTTATTATGTAAGACAATGTTTGTGTAATAAAATGAGTATTAAGCAACAGACATTGGTAAAATTTTCAGCATGTATTTTTATTTATATGAGCAATAAATCTATTCTGAGGATACAACCATTTACTTCTCTCTAGATAGTCATTTGATCAGTCCATTACAGTCAAATTGGCAGCTGATGTCAAAAATGACCTTCAGCTTGGGCAAATGATGGTTTGTTAATTTTCATACCTCTGAAATGAAACTGCTCTCTATTAATCATCTGAGAGACTACTTTCTGCTTTTCATCAACATGGCTGATGCTAACCTCCAGGAGAGTTATGCATTGTACCTTCTCAGACTAACATTTTCAGCTTACATAAAATGGAAAGATTATATTGAATTCATTGCTAGGTCAGCTGCTAAGAAAGTTGGTTAACTGTGTTGTGCTAGACTATTTTCTTCTCCAGAATCTATCTATACATATGTATAAATCTACCATTCATCCAGGCTTAGAATATTACTGCCATATATGGTTTGGTGCTCCTTTTATATATCTAGAGATCCTTGATAAAATCCAAAGAATTGGCAATATTATTGGTCTTGACTGGCATCATGGATTCATTTACTTGCCTATTGACATAAAGTTGTCTCTTTGAGCCTTTTCTATAAATATTTTCAAGGTAATTGTTCAGACGTGCTCTTTGCTGTGGTACCTAGACTTTATATATAAATAGACTAGACTTACTACAAGGTCTTATCAGTTTAGTGTTGAGTTGGCGAGCTGTGACCATAAGTTCTATGCTATCAGTTTCTTTTCTCACATTCTCACTTGTGGAACTCCCTTCTGTCTCCATGCTTCCCAGCCAACTTTAATCTTCAAAAGTTTAAATGCAACACCAATCGTTATCTGCTGTCCTCCTGATTACTCTTCTTTTGTTCTCACTTCTTAGAAATGTTTCTGTTTTCTAATACTTCCACATCCAGTAAATCCCTTGTGTTTTAGAGGCTTTATTTACACTATTTACATGTGGACTATTGTTCTCATCTTTATTGTTGGTATCACAATTTTTTGTCTGTTGTGTCATCCAGCCTTCATCAGGTGTATAACAATCCAGGTAGACTACTCAAAATTCTGAAATGAACCCTTTATTTAATCTACAGAAGTAGATTGTTTTTGTTCCACTGCTCATGTCTAGGGATATCTGAACTAGTTCTTATTTCTAGTACTGCTTTGTTATTGCTCGCCCTGCTTCCCCTGAGTCCAAGTACACACTTCAGTTTCATATATGCTAACATATTCTGTTCCTTTCTCACTGCCAGAAGATACCTGTGATATCACCTCAAAATCATGTTTGAATACCAGTAGTGAGATTGGTAAAAATCATATGAAGTACATATTTTTTTATATTGTATATGTTGCTCTGAATTTCTTATATTTTGCATTGAGCACTGTTTTTACTTTTTTGTGTCTTTGACATAATTTCTTTGATTGTTATAAAAGTAATATATATGTATATCTATCACTCTATGTGTGTGTGTGTGTGTGTGTGTGTGTGTGTGTGTGTGTGTGTGTGTGTGTGTGTGTATATATATATATATAACTCTATGTGTGTGTGTGTGTGTGTGTGTATATATATATATATATATATATATATATATATATATATATATATAAGCAAATATATGGCTATAGATCCGACAGTATGAAGAAAATATACAGAAAAAACAAAAAAAAAACTTAATATGCAATTATTGCTGTTTTAATGTTAATATAATGTCAACGTCGGACGTTTCAGTTTAGTTTAGTAGACCATCTTCAGGACATATTCATAACGTTGAACGCTGATCTTATAAAAGATTTCAGTTATCTGTTTGGATTGGTATTGCTTTTATGTCCATTATTTTTTTCATATATGAATTGAATATATATCTGTTAATATATAATTTTTATGAATATGTCCTGAAGATGGCTATATTAAAGACCAATACAAAACGTCAGATATAATTATTTTATATTAACATTAAAAACAGTTATAAAACTTTTTTTATATTATGTTATAAATTTTTTTGTTTAAATCACTTTTTTTTTATGTTATAAATACTTTTTTCTTAAGTATATATTTTTATATAAAATATATATATATATATATATATATATATATGGAAAAAAAAGACAATTGGAAAATATTTTTTGTCATTGTGGACATGTTTTGTCAATTCAATTTTATAAAGGCAAGTTTAAAAGTGAAATGTTTTTTAGTTATTCAGTTTTCTTTCTCCTAGACTGGTTGTCAGCCAAGGCTAGAGAGCTCAGCCTTGCTATTAACTCATGGCCGTGGGAGAGAAGAGTTGGAATCTTACCATTCCAGGGATATTTCTGTGAAAGTGAATGCAACTGCTGGCATTTGAACTCAACACGCTAATTCCATTTTCTTTCCCAATAACCTTTATGCCAGGCACACATCAATCTAGACAGCAGCCGTCCTGTGTTTATCATGCTGGGATTGAGAAGAATTCTCAAATAAAAGATTAAGTACTTTGTTCTGGTTTTTCATCTTGTTTTCCATTCAATTTGCTTTCATTAACAAATTACACTCATGGTTATAATAATGGAAATTACACCCTCTAGATCCCCAGTCAATCAAGGAGTCCTCTCATTATTTTTCTGCTTTCCTTTCTCTTCCTTCATCTGTCTTACTTTCCCTCTCATTCTCTCTCTTATGTCTTTCTTGCTTTACAGTTAATTTCCATTCTCCTTCTCTCCTTCTCTATGACTCTCTCTTTTTTTTTTTTTGCCCTCTCTATCTTCTTCTGTCACCCACTCTCTTCCTCATCCTCTCTCTTTCTCTGTCATAGTCTCTCTTTCATTTTCGCCCTCTCTTTCATCATCTATCTTCTGTCACCCATTCTCTTCCTCATCCTTTCTCTCTTGCTCTTTCATCCTCTCTTTCTCTGTCACCCTCTCTTTCCTCCTCTCTTTCTCTTTCCTCCTCTCTCTTTCTCTTTCCTCCTCTCTCTTTCTCTTTCCTCCTCTCTTTTTATCTTTCATCCTCTATCTTCCTCTGTTACCCACTCTCTTCTGCGCCCCTGCTTTTGCATTCTCTCTCTTTCCCTTTCATCATCTCTCTTACATCCTCTCTTTTCCTTTCTTCCCCTGTCACCCTCTTTTTCTTCTTCTCCCCTTTCTTTCTCTGTCACTTTCTCTCTTTCTCTGTCACACACTCTTTCTCATCCCCCTTTCTTTATCTCACCACTTTTTCTCTCTTCCCCCTCATTATCTTTCCCTCACCCTCTCTCTTTGCCTTTTTTCTTCTCTTTCTTGTCTCTTACCTTTTATTATTTTTTGCTTTTATCTCTTCATCCTGATCTCTTACTTGTCTCCTCTCAGTCTTTCTTTTATGCTGTTATTTTTTCGCTTAATTCTTTCTTCTTTCCCATCTAATATCTATACCTCTTCCATACTTTATTCCATTTTTTTTCACTTTTATTTTCCCACCTCATTTCCTTGACAAGTTGATCCCATTTTGCCCCACCTCCTTACCCCTGTATGATCCAAGGCTCAACATTAAGATACGAATGAAGAATTATAACAAGGTTAACCAAACCCAGTTCTTACACTGTTATATCAACCATTTTTTTTTTTTTTTTCAAGACTGCTGCCAAATAAAGCCAAAAGTGTCAAGGCCTGGTAAAAAATGGTTTGCTCCTTACTGACATCTGTTCACAAAGTGAATCTTTTTATCTTTCACATCTGGAGTGAATTCTGCTCTTGTTCCTTCTTAGCTGTAAACATTTCACAATATTTTCATTCTAGTATTTTTTTTTACGAAAAGAAACTTTCAGCTATTTGAATTTATATAAATCACTATTTACATTGTTCAAAGTGTTTGTCCTCATCTTTATTGCTATATTCACAATGTTTCGGCCATTGTATGCTCTGACCTTCTTCAGGTGATATACATTGGAATTTCAAACCAAACCCTTTATTTAGTCCAGGACAGTAGATTGTTCTCATTCCACATGCCATGCCTTTTTCGGATAACTCTATTTCAGTTAATTCTCTTTTAGTAATGCTTTTATCCACTGGAATAAAAGCAATGGCTGAAGTAATCGAGTGACTTGACCCAAATAGTTGTGAGTTCAATACCTGACCACAGCAAAGGTGAACGAAACTTGGACAGTTGAGTTACTAAAGGGAAATAATTAGAGAAAAAGTCACTAATATAACTTGTGATCATGGTTCTCCACAACTTCCCATCACTTGTAGCTCTAATGTTTGTTACCTTACTGTCCCCCTAGTTCCTGCTCTGCCATTCATTTATACAACCTCATTAAGTAGGTTACTTTCTATTCACCCCCCCACACACACACACTTGACTTCAATATGTCCTGTGAGTGTCAAATTCTCCAAGTATGCTTTCCTCATAATCCATCCTAGACATTTCAACTGTCTGATTCTAAGTACAATTGTTCTTTTAGTTTCCATTTTCCTTAAAATTTCCTCATTGCTCACATAGCTACATCTCTGTTGTCTAAAATCTTGTCTTCAACTGTGAGGGAATTGTCCAGCATTCACTGCTCTATACATGAATTGAGAAATCAGAGCACTGGGCTCAAATTCCAGTTGGGTTAGTTGCATTAATTTACATGCTAAAAGGAAAATGGGAAAGTTATGAATCATCACTCCCCAGCTATGGATTAAATAGTAAGACTTGTATCTGGAAAGATCATTGCTGCTCACAAATAATTAATAATGCAATATGCACTCACAAAAATAAAACAATTATTCTTACAATCCAAAATCTCTTTTGGCTTTAAGTAGCCTCCAAAGAGTTGATAATTTATAAAAAATAAATCAATTACTTCCATATCAAAGGATTGATTGCAGGATGTTCTTTTTTTTTTGTTTTTAATGAAATTTTCCTGTTTCTTAATATCTTGTTTAGCTTTTGGAAGGCATTTTTTGCTATTCCAGTGCAACTTTAACTTTTTGCATCACATTTTCTGTTGTCTACTAAAACATCTAAGAAATTTCTGTACTTGTTTGAAATTTGACTTTTCCAATTTGTAGCTTTCATCTTTGGCTGTCCAACTTGCTAATGACTATATACATGGCTGATGCTAACCTCCAGGAAAGCAACACTCTATGCCTTCTTTGCCTCATATTTTCCACTAACATGAAGTGGAGCAACTATGTTTAATCAATAACTTCTTCTGCAGCAAGAAAAGTTGGGTCACTGTGTCGTGCCAGGAAAATTTTCTCATTAGAATTCATTTTGCACACTTACAAATCTACCATTTGTCAATACATTGATTACTATTGCTATATATTTGGTCTGGTGCTTCTACTGTACATCTAGAGATTCTTGACAAAATCCAAAGAAGGATCTGTAATATAATCAATCCTGATGAGGCATCTTGACTTCAGTCACTTTCTCACTGACATGTTGTGGCTTCCCTCTGTCTTTTCTATAAATATTTTCATGACAACTGCTCTGAAGAGCTTTTTACCCTGGTGCCCTGACTACATGAATTTAAGTGTGCTACTTGATTGGCATGTAAGTCCAACCCTTTTACTGTTGAAATAGTTAAATGCAACCCCCACTTCTACTCCAAAAGTTTCTTTTCTCGCACTTCCTATCTCCTTTCCAATTACTTGCTTTCCTGATAATTACAGTCTTCAAAAATTTAAATGCAATGTCATTCACCATCTTACGTCTTCTTAAACCCTGTTCATCTTTTGTCTTCTCCTCAATCCTCCCTATCCTCAGTCTTCTCTTTCACTTTCATTTCCTATCACCCCCTGCATATTAGTGGCACTAGCGCCTTGCTCGGGGTGAAACGATTAAAAAAAAATTATATTCTTACAATTCATGGTTAGTCCTTTCTTCCCACTTTCTTTTATTACCTCATGTTGAAGTTCCTGCAGTTTTCTGTGTGTGAAAAAAAAAAGAATGTAGAATTACAAATATCCACTCTGTCTGTTTAAATTCCCAACCATTTCTGTTTAAGATTAGTTTTGTGCATGCAATGATTAGTCAAAATTTTTCTTTTTGCTTTCCTTTTATTTTTATTTAGTTCTAAATTAAATGTTTTATTTGTAAAAGAAAAATAACAAAAGCCCCATTTTCTTCCTGACGCCAGCCATGTGCAAATAAGTTTACATATGTGTTTGGTAAATTGAATCTGCCTCCAAATTCCACCAAACAATCTTTGCAATGGTCTGAATATATGTCCATTCGTACTTAGATGCATCTCTTCAGCTTTAGCTGTGGTACCTTAATTCTAAACTTTCAAGAGATTTGGCATGAGACTTTCCATTAAATATGGTTTTCTATTGCAAAAAGATAGAACCAAGGTTTATGCGTGTTAGGTCTACAGTTAAAGTAATGGGCCAACACTGTACTATTTATGATACTGAGGACAAAATATTGGCTGGGTTGGATCGTGTAATGGTTAACAATTCAGAAAGAGAAATCGGTGAGCTAAGTTCGAATTCCATTTGAGTCTGTTCTGTTCCCTTTTGAAATTGAAATCCATCTTTTCTCCCAATCTATGGGTTAAATTGCAGAGGTAATTGGGCTCTCTTGCCTTGAGCTGGCAACCAGCCTAGAAGAAGGAAAACTTTGAATTGAAAACCAGTCTGAGGAGGAGGTGGGATCTCTCTGTCAGATTCTGTTGCACTAGACAACACTTTCCTTACAGTTGCATTACTTATTACAATGGGATCATATGTGCACCTTATGGTGCACATATGATCCCATTGAGTACACAAGACTCTATGATACAACATTGTCTGAAATGTCAGTATATAGAATATTGATATGAGGACTTGGAGGATTAGAAGTTATTGGTTATCCAAATATAAAGCCTTTTATACATACACACACACACACACACACACACACACATACATATATATATATATATATATATATATATATATATATATATATATATATGGTGGTGGACTCTCCTGTTGTATTTGATGCATAAGAGTCAAGCAGCTCAGTTCCTAGAAACTGACAGCCCAGACACCAGTACATATGATTTGATTAGAGTGGTGAAGGCTTTGTACAGAAACAACCACACTTTTTGAAGGGCCGAATACAGTTACCTGGTGCACTACGTGCCACAAGGTCACCAAACGACCCTCCTCAAGTTTTGAATTCAGAGTTGTCCTTCTCTTAGACCAGTAGCCATCCAAGGCTATAGAACCCAGTCTGTCCTGCGATTTACCTATAGCTGGAGGGTGAAGAAGAAGATTAATACCTTTCCCAAGGGTATTAGCATGTAAATGAATGCAATGGATTTGACTGGAATTCGAACTCTCCTCTTCAATTCCTCAATCTGAGCTGCTATCCACTAGTCCACTATGCCTCTCTCTCTCTATATATATATATATATATATATATATATATATATATATATATATATATATATATATATATATATATATATGAGAGAAAAACAAGAACAACATCTATTCTATACCTGAAGATGTCTGTAGGAACAGACGAAAGCGTGTAGTAAAAATAACTAATGCAGCAGAAATTTATAGAAACTAGGATCTTTTCATTCATAACAGGTTCAGAGGTTTTTGTATATTATTTAAATTGTTTGCGACGATGGATATCTCGCCAATTAAATCATTAACCTTTGCATTTGTTTTTGTGTGAATAATTCATGAATTTGTAAATTGATTGCACGTTTATCGAAATTAAAATAACTGATCCAAGTGCGACTTTTGGATAATAAGTGCGACATTACTGTAATTATTGAACAATATAGTTCATGCCACTTTGACAGAAAATTTACCAGTAAAAAATTCGCTTATCACCATATTTGTACAAGAACGCACAACTGTAAAAATTTAAAATCAAACTCAGCATTGCTACTGCACGCTCCAATAACAATAACTCATTTCCAATAGCATTTTCGGATACAATACATATATTTTCGTTGTCCTCTTATTACTGAGAGAAAAAACAAGAACAACATCTATTCCATACCTGAAGATGTCTGTAGGAACAGACAAAAGCTTGTAGTAAAAATAAGAACTAATGCAGCAGAAATTTATAGAAACAAGGATCTTTTCATTCATAACAGGTTCGGAGGTTTTTGTATATTATTTGAATTGTTTGCGACGATGGATATCTCGCCAATTAAATCATTAACCTTTGCATTTGTTTTTGTGTGAATAATTCATGAATATATATATATATATATATATATATATATATATAGAGGCATGGTGGAGTAATGGATAGTGACTCATATTGAGGAATCAGAGAGCTAAGTTTGAATTCCAGTTAAGACTGTTACATTCACTTACATGCTAATAGTCTTGGAAAAGGTATTAATCCATCTCTTCTTTTTCCTCCTTGCCAGCGATAAGTAAATAGAAGGACAGACTGGATCTAATCTCCTTGGGTGGTAAAC